GATTTAATAAACGAGACGTCAGTCTTCAGTCTGACTCCGGCACGAAAGGTTGTCCATGTGTGCCCTTCGCAAAAGAACGTAAAACGAAACATGGTGTCAGAAGTGGGATCGCTCCGCGAGTCTACTAATAATTAGTATAGCGCAGGATCGTCTACAAACGAAGGGACAATGGACAAGCCCTCAACTTCTGCCGACAACGGTGCTACCGAACAAACGGTAACGGCAACTTTTTGCATCTCGCCACCCGAAGCCTTCAGTTTTACAACACCTAACGAATGGCCGGCGTGGAAGAAGAGATTCAAGCGCTTCCACAGTGCATCAGGACTGGCATCTCAACCATCTTCACACCAAGTCGACGCTCTCATTTACATCATGGGACCACAAGCTGAAGACGTCTTGCAGACCTTCAAGTTGTCCGACACCGAGGCTCAAGACTTCGACAAGGTGATGGAGAACTTCGAACGTTACTTCATTCCTCGTCGAAACGTTGTGTATGAGAGAGCCATGTTCAACACAAGATCGCAACTGGAGACGGAAACCGTCGAGGAGTACGTCACTGCTCTCCATGGATTAGCCACTACGTGCAACTATGGACCACTGAAGGAAGAATTGATCCGCGACAGGCTGATTGTTGGTCTTCGGGACAGCAGGACTTCAGAAAAACTTCAACTCGATCCTGATCTGGACCTCCAGAAGGCCATCGCTGCTGCGCGACAATCGGAAGTGATTAAGAAGCAACAAGTGGAACTCCGACCGACAAAAGAAAAGGATGCCAACGTTGACCGTATAGCAGCCAAAAATGGGACAGCAGCAGGACCTGCTCAGCGAGGAATTGAACGTTTAAATGTTCGAACTCCTACTAAGAAGACCGCGACACCCAAACCAAAAGGCAAACCGTGCCGTTGGTGTGGTCGAGAAGCTCACCCGAGGAGTGTGTGTCCGGCGAAGAACGCAGGCTGCAACAGGTGTAAGAAAAAGGGACATTTTGCAACAGTCTGCAAATCTCCAACTACCGTGAACTCCCTCGTACACGAACAAGGATTCGTAGGAGCGGCAGCTTCTCCTCAAACAGCAAAATGGGACATCGAGATATTCGTCGACGAAACTCCTGCTGTTTTCCGAATAGACACTGGAGCAGACGAAACGGTGTTACCAGCTGCCATCTTTCAAAAGGTCTTCGCAAAGTGCCACAAGCTCTCCGAGCCCCAACGCCGACTTCATGGTCCAGACGGACGACTCCATAAAGTCATGGGATCAGCTTGGATGAAGCTCAACTGCCGTGGGCAACAAGCACTCGAAGAAGTTTACATCGTGAAAGGACTTCGCAAACCTCTTTTGGGTAAGCCAGCTATCGAAAAATTTCGGCTTTGCCCTCAAATCTGCATGACTGCGAACAAAACTTGCGAACCGAAGAAAGAGTTCTCTCACCTGTTTCAAGGACTGGGATCTCTCGAAGGTGCTCACGTTCTGAAGCTGAAACCTAACGCGACGCCGTTTGCTATCGCATCACCGAGAAGAGTACCGCTTTCGCTGTATCGAGAAACGCAGAAAGAGTTAGAAAGCATGCAGTCGCAAGGTGTCATCTCTCCAGTGGAAGAACCTACTGAATGGTGCGCGCCGATGGTCATCGTCCCCAAACCGTCTGGCAAAATTCGCATTTGTGTTGATCTCACACAACTGAACAAACACATTCAGCGTGAATATCACCCCATCCCATCAGTGGAGCACACGCTGGGAAGGCTAGCGGAAGCCAAGATCTTCTCAAAGCTGGACGCGAATTCTGGGTTCTGGCAGATCCCCCTAGAAGAGAAGTCACGACTCCTGACGACATTCATCACTCCGTTTGGAAGATATTGTTTTAATCGCCTACCATTCGGAATCACGTCAGCACCGGAACACTTCCAGAGGCGTATCACACAACTTCTCCAAGGAATGGAAGGAGTACTTTGCCATATGGACGATATTTTGATATGGGCGTCATCGTCCGAGCAGCACGAGCAACGTCTGCGAGAAGTCCTCAGGCGACTCTCATCAGCAGGACTCACGCTCAACGAGGATAAATGCGTCTTTCGAGTGACAAGTATCAAGTTCCTAGGTCATCAAGTAGACAGCGATGGTGTCCGTCCAGACGAGACAATCGTTAACGCAGTGAAACAGATGCCCATACCGACTTCAAAGCAAGAAGTCAAGCGCATCATGGGTATGGCGACATACCTAGGACGATTCGTGCCGCACCTGTCTGACCTACTGCATCCACTATCGTCACTGCTCAGTTCCAAAGTGGACTTCGTGTGGGATCATCCTCAGCAGAAAGCCTTCACCAAATGGAAGGAAATCCTCTCAACCTGCCCCGTTCTCGGAATTTACGACGCCAACAAGCGATCGATTGTATCGGCAGATGCGTCATCCTACGGCCTGGGAGCAGTGCTGCGTCAAGAGCAGGAGGATGGATCATATCGCGTCATCGCCTACGCGTCCAGAACACTCACCGAAACAGAGAAGAGGTACGCCCAAATCGAAAAAGAAGGTTTGGCACTCACGTGGGCATGCGAAAAATTCCGAGATTACATCGTGGGAACGCACTTTGTACTGGAAACCGACCACAAACCACTCATTTCTCTGTTTGGATCAAAGTCATTGGACGACCTAACCCCACGGCTTCAGAGACTGCGCATGCGTTTAATGCGCTACTCATTCGAAGTTGTCCACGTTCCGGGCAAGGAACTCCAAGCAGCTGACTCGTTGTCAAGAAGCCCTCTGCCACAGCGGCAAGACAGAGAGATGCAAGAAGAAATCGATTGCTTCATTCGACACATAGAGACGTCCCTACCAGCAACGCAAACGAGTCTCCAATGGATAACGGCAGAACAGAACAAAGACCATGTTTGCCAAAGACTCGCCAGCTACAGCCATAAAGGTTGGCCAAATCGTCGAGATCTCGGAACAGACCTCAAAGAGTACTACGAGTACCGTCATCACATTGCCGTGCAAAACAGCCTTCTCATGAATGGTTCTAGAATAGTGGTACCAGAATCCTGCCGTCCACATATCCTGCAACAACTTCATGAAGGACACATGGGCATAGGAAAATGCAAAGCACGGGCAAATGTATCGGTGTGGTGGCCGAGGATAAACGATCATATCGAGCGCCTGGTCAAGAACTGCGAAAAGTGCATTAAAACTGGCCAGAACCGAAAGCTCCCCCTCATCCCGTCAGAGTTTCCTAGTCGACCGTGGGAGAGAGTGGCGATGGACCTCTTCTTCATTCACGGGAAATGGTGGCTGGTCGTCGTCGACTACTACTCTCGCTACCCCGAAATCGCCCGACTGGAAAGCCTCACAGCAGCGTGCGTAATAATGCACTGCAAATCGATATTTGCGAGGCATGGCATCCCAGAAGTAGTGGTGTCTGATAATGGTCCTCAGTTTTCGGGAACCACAGGTTCAGCATTCACCAAGTTCTCACAAACCTACGGATTTAAGCACATCACATCAAGCCCTCGCTACGCGCAGAGCAATGGGATGGCTGAGGCTGCGGTGAAGATCATAAAGAGATCACTCAGCAAAACAGAAGATCCGTACGAGACACTCATGATCTACCGCTCAACGCCTCTGCCCAACGGATACAGTCAGACAGAACTTCTCATGGGGAGAAGGATGCGTACAACCGTACCGATCGCCACTCAGCTCCTGGAACCAAAGCTACCCGACCAAAAAGAACTGCGTCGCTATGAGCAAGAAAACAGGAACCGACAAAAGCAATACTTCGACCGGCGACACGGAGTGCGTCAACTCGATCCACTTGGCTCTGGACAGCGAGTTTGGGTCATTGACCTCAAGCGAACCGGAGTAGTTCAGAACAAGGCCCATACACCACGATCTTACTGGATAACGTCCGAGGGTCAAGAGATCCGAAGAAATCGCACGCATTTAATTCCTTTCCCCGATCAACAAGATAAACAAGGCATCGAAGAGTTCCCCGAAACAACCACGAGGCCCGAAGAAATGTGTGCCGACACCTCCCACAAACATTCTCGGCACGGCCGGTGTGTAAAAGAGCCAGACCGTTTCAGCACTTCTTCGAAGCTCCCTTAGAAAGAGGGATGTTATGGAGGTCGCCGACGCGCCGACGCGCCGACGCTAGCGAGCTCCAAAGTCCAAGGCGACCGAGAAGAACCGTTCGCGCGCAGCCCGAGATCTAAACATCCGTTCGTCCGCTTCGCGCGTAACCTGAGCGCCCCGTACCAGAGGCGCCTTTCTTTTATTTCGTTTTAGATTTAATAAACGAGACGTCAGTCTTCAGTCTGACTCCGGCACGAAAGGTTGTCCATGTGTGCCCTTCGCAAAAGAACGTAAAACGAAACACCAGCATGTGGTTGAGAGCTGGTCCGAAGTTGCAGTGTTCTGCCATCTGCCGAAGTTCGGCGACGAACGTAGTGATGCTCTCATTCTCGAGCTGTACTCGCGTGCTGAAGCGTAAACTCGGCGATTTCGTACGGTGGAGGGCTGAAATGGACTGCTTAAGGTTGCCATGAGCCCCTTGTACTTATCTTTTGGCTTCACAAGTGCTAGCAGACTCCTGAGTGTCGCGTAAGTGCTGGCCCCGACGGTTGATAAGAAGATCCATTTCTTCTCGTCGTCTTCGATGCCGTTTGCACTGAAGACCGCGTCAACCCTTTCCAAGTAGGATAACCAGGGCTCCTTGTTGTCGTATTCGTCAAGCTTGCCAAAAGACAACATTTCCACAATTTCAAAATCCACGCGCGCGCGCGGGAAGTTCGCGCACAGCAAAGATCCGTAGAATTCCTACCGGGCCATCCCTTGGTGCTGCTGCTTGGCGGCTTCTCCATCTCGTCGTCGATCGGTTTCTCGTCGCCAGTTGTTTTGTACTTCGGGTTGGGTTTTAACCTAATACTTTATTAAAGAATAACAAGCGGCCGGAATAACAGTAGCCTTTCCCCCTCGCGGATCCAGAGTCGGCTCCCTCTGACGAGAGTTCCTTAGCCTTCCTCGGCGCAGTCGTTACGGAGCGGGTCGGTGGCGGCATCTAGCGAGGGCCTACAAATACAGAGCACAGCCGAAATGTTCTGCACGTTTTCGCCACCGCTGAAGCTAAATCAACTCAGCACGGACGCGACGTTCTCGAAAAACGAAACCGAAAAAAGGTAAGGTGGGAGAGAACTTTTCTCCCCTCTGCCTGGAGTAGGAGAAAAACGTCTCGTTTTTCCCTTCTTGTCCGTTTGGGGGGGGGGGGGGGGGGGGGGGGGGGGGGGGGGGCGCCAGTAGAAGGGAGAAAGACGCGCCGTTGCTACCTTTTCTTTTTCCTTTTTTTAGAGTGCACTGCCCGCCAATATGAAGGGTACAGCCGTTAGCCTCCATCCATCCATCCATGACATTAGCGCAGGTGTAGCTACGATGCTCCTCTTGTTGCTGTGCACGTTTTGCGCGTGCCCACACCAGCTACTCAAGGAAATTTGGCGAAACCGTCCGCTCACCTTGACAAAAAGCATCCCTTGGTTCCCGGGATGCCAGTAGTACTTGTCGTCGTAAATCAGGACCTCATGCATGACAAACGTCTTGAGAGCATACGACGAGAGATTCCACTTGTAGGAGTCCCTCGTGGTCTTGAAAGAAAAGTACAGCAATTGTTACATCTGCTAATCTGGCATGGTGATTTCGCACAAACAGAAAAACCTGCTTATGACAACGAGATCCCTCAAGTTTACGGCTGCGACTAATCAAGAATACAATGACAAATGATTCATTTCTATGTGCCCAATTGGTACTGGCTACGATGAACCTTTAATCTATATTACGATACCTTGAGCAAGCGAATGATGGGCTTCACACAACCGAAGTCTTCGATGAGTCTCTTTTCCATGTTTGGGAAGTGCAGCCGCCACAAGTAGGAGTTGGATCTTGGGGGCTTTGGGATCAGGAACCAGTTGCAATCCTTTCCCAGAGAAAACAGGGGATCGAAGGAAGTCAGTTTTAACGTGGCAAATGCAACAAAGAACAAATAATTAGCAAAATGGATTACTTTACTTCGTTTGAGCTTAAGTTCAGACGCAGCCGACGCTACGAGCTAAAGGGACCGACCAAGCAGCTTCAAAAGCGCAAGACACTAGGCCTATTTTGTTTGTGATTGGTTCAGTGATGATAGAACACGTGCGGAAACATGACGAACACCATGATGGTGTCCTTTTGACGCTGTCTGATTGGTCACACCAGCTCGTAGCGTCGTCTGCGTCCAGACTCAAGGTGAAACGAAGTACATACTTTGTTTCACCTTAAGTGGGCGCAGCAAACGCTAAAGCGTCGAACCGGAACCGAACCGGTATTTTTAATCGAACTGGAGGCGAACCGAACAGAAATCGTCGCCATCTCAAAACCTAACCGAAACTGAACAGAAAAAAAATGCACAGTAACCGGTTAAAAACGGTTCAGCCTAATATATTTTGTTGTTAATAGACTCTTTCCGAAATTCAGTCTGGCCACTTTGATCACTATCATCATCTGAAAAATGGCATATGTGCCGTACTAGTGGGAAGGGTCTATTCCTAAATGCTTAATATTTGAGATAAAAAAAAAATATCGGCAAAGGTCTATAAAAAATTCATACCGAATTGCAATGAATGAGAAATTGTAGGATTTCATGGGGGTTTGTATTAGCACTCAGACTAATTATGTGACTTCACTTGTAACGTTATATTATACGATGTGGTCACGTGACGTCACGGCGGCGACTCGCGTAGCGTCGTGCCGTGACATAACTTCGTATCACGACTTTACTCCCAACGTTACTAGATCCAATAGCGTCGTAGACACCGTGACATCACGGGACACCACAACTTCGCACCATGTGTCAAGAGATATTGAAGCTGACTACCTTCCCACTGTGTAAGCAGGCGCGCGTTTGGTGGTGTATCACAACAGCATGAGGTCGTGTATTACTAGAGCGTGATGCAAGTTAAAGACCTCAAGCTTGTATAGAAGTAAGGCACTCACTGGCCAAATTTCTCCTCAACAGCAGATGACACCAAACGCTCGTTGAGACAGGCGTGCGTTTGGTTGTGTATCACAACAACATGAGGTCGGCTATCACTAGAGCGCAACGCAAGTTAAAGACCTCAGGTTTGTATAGAGGTACGGCACTCACTGACCAAATTTGTCCTCAACAGCGGATGACACCAAACGCTCGTTGAGACTATCTAAACAGGCGTGCGTGCGGTCGTGTATCACTAGAGCGTGATGCACGTTAAAGACCACAGTCTAGTAAAGGGTCTGCATTTGCTAAATTTCACATCTACAGCGCGAACGTCAGACGCCCATTGAGGTTGACTACTTTCCCTCTGTCTAAACAGGCGTGCTGTCATGTATCACTACAGCGCGCGGTCGTGTACCACTACAGTGTGATTCACGTTAAAGACCCCAGGCTAGTGGAGGGACTGTACAGGCTAAAATTATCGTCTACAATGGACATAGCAGACGCCTGTTGAGGCTGACTACCTTCCCGTAGCCTAAAAAGGCGTGCGGTCATGTATCACTACAGCGTGCGGTCTATTACTAAACCGTGACGCACGTCAAAGACCCCAGGCTAGTAGAGGGACTATACTGGCTAAATTTCACATCTACAGCCGAGATGCCAGACGCCCATTGATGCTGACTACCTTCCGGCTGTCTAAACAGGCGTGCGTCCAGTCGTGTTATCACTACAGCGTGAGGTCGTCTATCACTACAGCGTGATGCACGTTAAAGACCCCAGGCTAGTGCAGTGACTGTACTGGCTAAATCTCTAAACTAAAGCGGAAACGCCAGACGTTCATTGAGACTGAACACCTTCCCGTTGACTAAACAGGCGTGCGTCCGGTCGTGTTACCACTACAGCGTAAGGTCGTGTACCACTACAACGTGATGCGCGTTAAAGACCCAAGGCTAGTGGAGGGACTGCACTGGCTAAATTTCACATCAACAGCGGAAGCACCAGACGCTCATTGAGGCTGACTACCTTCCCGCTGTCTAAACAGGCGTGCGTCTAGTCGTGTTATCACTACAGCGTAAGGTCGTGTACCACTACAACGTGATGCACGTTAAAGACCCAAGGCTAGTGGAGGGACTGCACTGGCTAAATTTCACATCAACAGCGGAGGCACCAGACGCTCATTGAGGCTGACTACCTTCCCGCTGTCTAAACAGGCGTGCGTCCAGTCGTGTTATCACTACAGCGTAAGGTCGTGTACCACTACAACGTGATGCACGTTAAAGACCCAAGGCTAGTGAGGGACTGCACTGGCTAAATTTCACATCAACAGCGGAGGCACCAGACGCTCATTGAGGCTGACTACCTTCCCGCTGTCTAAACAGGCGTGCGTCCAGTCGTGTTATCACTACAGCGTAAGGTCGTGTACCACTACAACGTGATGCACGTTAAAGACCCAAGGCTAGTGGAGGGACTGCACTGGCTAAATTTCACATCAACAGCGGAGGCACCAGACGCTCATTGAGGCTGACTACCTTCCCGCTGTCTAAACAGGCGTGCGTCCAGTCCTGTTATCACTACAGCGTAAGGTCGTGCACCACTACAACGTGATACACGTTAAAGACCGAAGGCTAGTGGAGGGACTGCACTGGCTAAATTTCGCATCAACAGCGGAGGCACCAGACGCTCATTGAGGCTGACTACCTTCCCGCTGTCTAAACAGGCGTGCGATCATGTATCACTACAGCGTGAAGTCGTGTATCACTAGAACGTAATGCATGTTAAAGACCCCATTCTAGTTGAGGGACAGCACTGGCTAAATGTCTCATATACAGCGAAGACACCAGGAGCCTATTGATATTCAGTAAATTTCCCCGCCCATTGGGGTTGACGCCCATTGAGGTTTACTGCCTTCCCGCTGTCCAAACAGGCGTGCGGTCGTGTATCACTTCAGCATGATTCACGTTAAATACCCCAGGCTAGTGGAGGGACCGCACTGGCTAAATTGCTCATCTACAGCGGAGCCCAGACGCCCATTGAAGCTGGCTATCTTCCCGCTGTCTAAACACGCGCGCGGGCGTGTATCACTTCAGCATGATTCGCGTTAAAGGGGTACTCCACCGATTTATTGAGCTACCTCAACTAACTATATTTTCTGACTCCCCGGCCTTTACTCCCTCCGGTATGCTATTTAGAATCGCGAAATTCATAATAGTTATTGCGAAATCGGCAAATGAAAATGATGCAAAAACCAACATTCAAATATACGCGCGCTTTTCAGGGCCGTGACGTCAGTGGCAGGCAGGCTTGCCAGTCGAGCAAGCAGCCAAAAAATAGAATATGCCAATCATTTGTTCCGTGCTGGAGCGCGGGTACTGCAGCGAGCTTCCCAAGCATTGATTTGACACCATGAAACTGCTTCGAATCAGTTTAAAACAAAATCTACAGCCCAAAGAGTGAACCCCTGCCTTCCACTGACGTCACTTTTTTATTGTTGCCAGTAGAGACTTCGAGCTTGAAAAACACGGTGAGGACCAAAACTGTAAATTCAATAACTTCGCGAAAAAACAATATTTTGACCTAATATTTGGGATACTATTTTTGCGATGTTTGTTGGTTAGTTTAGCAAAATTTCAAGCAAATCGGAGATAATGAAAAAATCGGTGGAGTAGCCCTTTAAAGGCCCCAGCCCAGTAGAGGCTCCGCACTGGCTAAATTTCTCATGTACAGCGGAGACACCAGGTGCCTATTATTGACTGACTACCTTCTTGCTGCCTAAACAGGCGTGCGGTCGTGTCCCACTACTGCGTGACGCACGTTAAGGACCCCAGGCAGTGTCGTCACTAAGGGGGGGGGGGGGGGGGGGGGGGTGGCGGACCGCCTACGGCTCATCGCTCAGGGGGTGTAGTAAGAAGTGAAAAGTGTGAGTGTGTGGGAAGGAAGGGGTTAAGCGACACTCCCCAGCCCCCCCCCCCCCCCCCCCCTTCGGTCCTTTCGTTTCAAGGCGCGTTGCTATAAAGACCGTGGGGGAGGGGGGGGGGGGGCGCGGAGGGCCACCGCATTGAGTGCCACTGATTCTAGCGACGCCACTCCCCCCTTCTTTTCAATAGAGGGGCCGCACTGGCTAAATTTCTAATCTCCGGTGAATGCACCAGACGCCCATTGATATCGAGTAACTGCCCGCTTGTCTAAATAAACGCACAACAACCCAATGGCTTCGAGAACGACTTCGGAACTATGTGTGCCAAGGATTGAACTCCGAATGTTGTAGAGACGCTTACCGTCTTTGGGATTCTAGTCATCCAGTGTTTCCTTTGAGTGCCTTCGGGCCAATCAGGGTGCTTAAACTCTATCACAGGAACAAGGTCCACGTCAATATTGCAGCCATCTTTAAGTATGATATGAAATGTCTTGGCAGGGCCACTCTGGCTTGGCCGAATCTGCAAAAGAATAAAGAAATCGGAAAACCATCAATGGCTTAGTCCTTGGAGAAATTAATTTTAGTCAAGTTAACAAAACCAAACAGAAAATGAGATGAACTCACAATGAATTTCCGAAACTCTTTTTCGCGTTCTTTCGCTTGGGAAGCCTGGAGCTCGCTCTTTTAGCCCCTACTTATAAGGCAGGGCGTCTCAAGCGGCCCTTCCGCTGTGAAACGAGACGGAAAAATCGGCGCCTGCAGATAGAAAGCTCTAGCTTTTACCGAATGTGCGCTGAGCTGGTCAATGTTACAGTGTGAAATTTCAAAGCGCAGTTCTCTTCCTGTAAAAATGAGAGCAAAACACTTGCAAGGTTGAGCGCGTTCGCAGACGACCGAGTTAGCGACGCTATTTACTTGTGGTGCCAGGTGCAGCAAGCAGACGACGCACTCTGTTGCCTGCTCGTTGCACCAATAGGAAGATGGCGGCACAAATATATAGCGTCGCTAATTCGGTCTTCTGCGAACGCGCTTAGCCTTGACTTTGGCAAGTGTTTTCCTCTCATTTTTACAGGAAGAGAACTGGGCCTTGAAATTTGACACGGTAATATTGGCTAGCTCAGCGCACATTCGGTAAAAGCTACAGCTTTCTATCTCCAGGCGCCGATTTTTCCGGCTCGTTTCACAGCCGAAGGTCCACTTGGGACACTCTACGAAGTGACGCTCTATAGTTTGATCACGTGATGCGATCCGCGAGAGAACGTTTTCACTTGCGAATTGCAACGAGCAAGATTGAGGTTGATGTCCGATTGGCGATCAGTGAGGAGATGGAGCTGTCTCATCGTTCGGCTGGCATTCGAAGTTTCTTGTTCCGTCACTGAAGTAAGAACCGAAATAGGTTAGGTGCCATTAATATAACACATTCTATGTTAAAAAAAAAAATCTGTCTTTTTGGCAATTCCCAAAGGCGTTCGAAATTCATGAAATTTATAAATGGTAGGACCTCTGTTCTTTTCGAACTCTTTTTGCGGGAACGTTAAGCGAGGACACTTGATGGAAGCACATTGCAAGGGTTTTGTGAATATATAAAGTGGTTACACTGTCACGAGACACTGTGACCTCGGGTGTCATCGTAGTATCACCTACGTCACGTGACGTCAGGTCACGTCAGGCGTCACCGCGACACGTCACTTTCAAGCAGGGTTGGGCAGTATCGCGATACAAATGTATCGCGATAGTATTTTAGAAATACATTTTATATCTGTAATTCTGTATTGCGATACATTTTTTGCACCAGTATCTGTATTCCTGTATCGAAATACATTTGGAATGTTTCTTTGTATCGCGATACAATCAGGATGAAATGTATTTCGTTACATTTCTTGAGAAATACTCCCCCCCCCCCCCCCCCCCCCCCCCCCCCGAAAAAAAAAAAAAAAAACAAGTGAGAACACATTTCTTTTTTTTTTTTTTTACTACTGAGGGCATTAACCTCAAGACAATGCTGGGGCATTGTTACTATGCTGATCGAGGTTCCTTTTGATTCTGCAAACTATTTTTCTATGTGTCCTCTTCTCTCTTCTGAGAAGTGTTGCGTAGTCGGAAACTCGAAACAGGTAACGTGCCAGGAGTGGAGTCAGAGCATCTTCTGCCGCAGGTTCTTAAGTAGGGATTTCTTGAGTCATTGTTTGCTGGCATCCAATGCCCGCTGCTAACCGTCTCTCTCGCCTTAGCGTACAGAGTACACCCAGCCGGCAAAGCTGAGTCACATTCCGTTGCAGTATGAGCCTGGCAGTGGTTGACTTGAAATAGCAGGAAGACTCACGCTGTGGAGTTCAACACATATTCGAATGCATCTGGGGCTGCGCCCGTAACATTGCACGGCTCAAGGGTATAAGTCATCAGTCGACGTGAACGTGACCCGCTGCTCTGGTGATCCGAAACCCAGGAGGAGGCCAGAAGTGACCTCACTGTGCCATCCCAGACTACGTACTCCCGCGACTCGTCTCGAGAACGCCGTTTCTCGGACAGCTCGCACCTGTGCCGGCAATATCAGCTCGCTATCCACAAGGTCTCTGTTTGGATAATGCTAGGAAAAACTTGAGGACTGCAATCCGTGCGTCGGTGGCGGAGGGTCGGTAGTAAGGACCTTCAGAACAGGGATGCTACCGCATCGTTTTTCCAACCGTAACAGAAGATAAGACGTGTATATTCCAAGATGCTTCAGGTGGTCCACCATTCTCAGAAATTCCAAATGACACTGCATGCACGATCTTCAACTAGGTAATCTAAAACGAAAGTACGTATTGTCCTTTCATACAGCAGCGTGGTAAAGTTTCATGTTCAAGGCCACACGTACAGATAAAGAATACTAGTTCATTCCTCAGTGACATCATGTGATCAAGGTTGACAGGATTCTTTCCTTAGACAGACAGGATGTCATGGAAGGGACCGAGGTCAGCCCTTGATGGAACGTTTTTTGGGGCCCATTGAAGACTCCTTGTCGTCCGAAACCACTACCTTCAAGGCAAAGTGCCAAGCCTACAGGAAAGTAATTTCGGGATCGAAAACATCCACTTCAAACTTCAAGCTTTATCGCAGTTGGCGTCTCAAAAATTTGGAAAATGTATTGCACTATCAGTATTTCTGTATTTGTATTTCTGCCCTCTCTAAAATGTATTCCTGTATTTGTATTTCCAAATACTTTTTGCCTCTTTTTAAAATGTATTTCCGATACGTATCACGATACATTTTTACAGATGTATCTTAGTATCAGTATTCTGGCTACTATTTTAATGTATTCCAGTATTTGTATTTCCAAATACATTTTTGAGTATTTCTGCCCAACCCTGCTTTCAAGTGACGTCGCAATGTCACATAACCTAATCGCCTGAAGTCATGGTGTCCTGTGACATCCTGGTGCCACATGACGTCACAGAAGACCTCTAAATATAACGTATTTCAAGCGTCTTCGTGTCAGGTCATTGAGGTCGCGTTCGCGAACATCAAACCCCTAAGAGCTGGCCCCATAAATGGTATGCATTTAAAGGAATGAATGAAGAAATTTTGTCTTAAAAAGGAGGGGCTCCCTCCCTAATGGGGAAGGGAGGGAAGGGGCTCAAGTTCTTGTTACGAAGTTGACATCCATGCAGTGCAAATACTCTCAGAGAGAGAGAGAGAGAGAAACAGGTATATCTATGTTGAGTTATGGGACGAATTCACTCGTTATATGAGCGAATATATGCGGGTCGGTGCTTGTCCCGGTGACGCTGCACTCAGGGGCGGATTCATGGGTCAGGCTTGGGGGGGGGGGGGGGGGGGGAGAGAGAATCTGCTGAGATATGATGTTATGGCCGAAAGGTTGTCCAGATCAATTTTGTTGACCCATAAATTTGCTATGTCACCAAAAACTAAACTTTTGGATGGTGTATATTCATTACTTTTTTTTTTATTTAGAAAATTTACCTTGGGGAGCTTAAAGAAAAGGGGGGGGGGGCGGTCGCCCCCCCCCCCCTTAACCAGATAAGCTTCTGGCTGCACTGCAGTGCAGATCCATATAAGGTGTCGTATGTTAGGTCGGATACGCATTAGTAGAAAAAAAAGCCTAACTTTTGGCTTGAATAGCCCGATCACCCAGCGTCATCCACTGCATCCAGGCACTTTATTACCTGAGCCACTAAGGAGGAGGAACGAGAAGGATTGAAGCTCCGTAGTGCCCGATCGAAGACGGACTGCAGCCAACTCTTGACCTTGTCGGGGAGGAGTCTATTTTCGCTGTCCATCCACGCGTGCAACTGCTCGCCCCCTTCTCTGCGAAGCCTGTGTATGGCCGCGGGACTGACTTTGTAGCCGACGTAGTCCGCAGGTCCGCCCACCACCTGGAGGTAATAATGCATCAACCCAATGGCTCTGGCGTGATGCTGCTGAGGTGGCGCTGCTGTCGGCTCGGCACCCATGTGCAGACGCTTTAATTCATAATTCATCATTTATTTGTGAGGGAGGGGCATATCCACAGAACAACGCAGGTTCGTCAAAGCCTTCAAGGGCTTGTGTGACTAAACCGCGGTTGCAAAGATATTAAAATAATTATCACAATAGAAGAAAGGAAAAGGGAGAACATAAAAAATCGTGCACTGAAACAGGATTAGCAATAGTTCCAGTTGAAGCTTAGGCTTCCAAATCACAAAAAAAATATATAAAATTCAATAAAAAAGCAAAAAAAAAAGGGAAAGGCGTTTACAACTCCCTGTAACGCCGAATTGGAGCGCAGCTCTTGAGGAGGAGGAGGGAAGGGTACTGAGGGGAGGGTAGACCCCTCCTCCTCCTCCTTCTCCGCCTTTCCTCATTCTTTAATATGCTCCGGGGGGGTCACCTGACCTCGGGGGGAGGGGGTCACGTGACCTCGGGGGGGAGGGGGGGTCACGTGACCCCCTCCCCCCAGAGGTCAGGTGACCCCCCCGGAGCATATTAAAGAATGAGGGGAGGAGAAGGAGGAGGAGAAGGAGGAGGAGGAGGGGTCTACCCTCCCCTCAGTACCCTTCCCTCCTCCTCCTCAAGAGCTGCGCTCCTATTCGGCGTTACAGGGAGGGGGGCCACGTGACCTGGGGGGCCACGTGATCTTGGGGGGTCACGTTACCTCGGGGGTCACGAGACCTTGGGGGTCACGTGACCTGGACCCGTGGCATAGGTGGAGGTCACGTGACCAGGACACAACCCGTGTCCTGGTCACGTGACCCCCCGTGTCCTGGAAGAACGTACCCCCCCGTGACCAGGACACAACCCGTGTCCTGGTCACGTGACCTGGGGGACACGTGACCCCCTAAGGTCACGTGACCCCCGAGGTCATGTGACCCCTTCCAAGGTCACCCCTCGGTCACGTGACCTTGGGGTGACCTTGAGAGGGGTCACGTGTCCTTGGGTTGACCTTGGTTACGCCGACGGCGACGGCGACGCCGACGTCGCTCAAGCCGAAAACGGACGCCTAAGAGCTGCGCTCTAAAATGAGGTTATGTCACTTAAAAACATCACAGAATCTCCTTGAAGAGTTGCACGATGCAGGGTACGTCCAGGTGAAGACTGTGTTTCTCAGTGCAATAAATCAATCAATCGATCAGTCAATCAATGTTTATTATAGTTCCCAGGAGGGTCATTCCACGTGAAACGTCCCAGACGTTGCGCTCGACCACCTCCGATTTCTAAAAAAAAAATTCATGGGCTTCGGCCACAATGTCCGTAGTCATACCCTAAAATAGTTTTGACGAAAAAAAAAATTGTGATGACGTGAGCGCGATTTTAATTTTTGAAAACAGCGTGAAACTAGGCATCACTCAATAATTTACGAAAAATCAGCTTTTCTATAAAACACCCAACAATATATTTTTATTAAATTTGCACGGTTGTCGGCTTACATCGTGGTTGAGTTTGTGCTGTTTTGTTTAATTTAAATATTTAAAAAAAATACATAATTTTATTCAAAAATCAACATATTTGTCATTTTATTAAAAAATATATAATTGCTCCCGGGAACTAATATAACTTTTTACTGGTTGCCATCTAGGTATATAACCTATAAAAAATATTTTAAACCGCTCAATTAAACATCTTGCAGTAAAACAAAATCCTGAAGTTGCCAAAAAGTGCGTTTTGACGCATAAACAGCTGTTTATTTCACCCTGAGGCGGTCCAAGTAAAAATACAAAATATGGTGGGTTTGGAAGAACGATTGATCGTCTTTTGATTTTGAAAGTTTAATCAGAGTAATTTTTGTTTAAAGCGAGAAAACAATTTTTGAAGTTGAACTCTCGCACCACTACCCGGCGTCGCTTCTTAAACGCCTCTTCGCCGCACAGCACGCCACCTGCGACAATAGCCGAAGCGATTAGGTCCAAAGAAACAACGGAGTTAGCTGCCCGCTTCCCCTCGTCCCTCTTTTCTGGCTGCAAGGGAAGAAACGGCGGGTATCGTGTACTAATCGGAGGTGCCGCCAGTGCGTCGCCATAGCAGGCCCGTTGTGCCCTTTGTACCCGAGGGCGGCTCCTCACACTCCGAAACGCGATGCCTAATCGACGGGCGGCATCAGCTGACGTGGACTTCTTTATGCCATGCCAAAGGTCCCACGGCGACCTCCGATTCCTAAAATAAAATCAATGGTTCTTCACCATAATGTTTGTGGTGCTTCTCTAAAATATATTTGACGAGAAACAAATTTCATGGTTGGATGGCGGTTTGAACTCGTAAAAAAGGGGTGAAACTAGGAGTCATTTATTAATTGATGAAAATTAAAATATTTTTATTGAACAGTGGACTATTTTTTCCTAAAAACCACATGGTATTTTGATTGTTGTGTAATAAGGATCATGGATATTCGCTTAAAGCAATTAAAAAAGAAGTAACATATGAGAATTTTAGCCTTTTTGATAGTTTGGTTACAAACTATCTCGTTGCTGCAGGTGATTAAAAATTCTTTTGGGCAACCCTGTGAATATACTGCACAAAAAAAAAGCCGTCAAATCTGCCTTGAGGTGGTCGAAAGAAAAATGCGAAACATGGTGACTTTTACTGAAGAGTTTATTGCCTTTTGTTCTTGAAAGTTTAATTAAAATAATTTTGTTCCAAACACGAAAAAAAAAAAACATTTTGAAGTTGAGCTTTTACGTCGCAACCTGGAGTCGTTTCTTGTGCCTCTTCTCTGCACAGCACGGCACCGTCGAGCCCGGCGAAGCGTGCGACGGTGTAACGGTGTGCCCACGCAGGTAGGGAGCAAGACCTTGAGTTGTCGGGTACATCTTGGTGAAAAGGGGCTGTTTTTCACTCTTGTTGCTTTATGGCTTTTCCCATTTCGACCGTTTTACGCGGCGATGTCCTCCTGTGATCTTCAAGTGTCTTGATGTCAGGAGATGCTTAGCGCTGCCGGTTCAGAGCATCCATTAGTAAGCTAGCTGTTTCCTACATACACAACGCGATCACTCTCTCTTGTTAACGTCAGCACAGATGTAAACAGCAGCACAAAAGACCCGTGAACGGGCAATCTCGAACGACGAGGCGATGTGGTGTTGACGAATGCGCGCCGTTGAAGGCTCACGCGTCGTTTGTGCTCAAATCGATTTTGAAATGACAAAGTCCAGCACGTAGCGTAGATGGTGACGCAGGATTAAAGTGATGGTGACTTCTTGTCTCTCTGACGGGGACCGCTGAGCTAAATCTTGGAATGAGTCGAGCTCGTTTTTCTTCAACCATTTCTTTCGGCACCCAAAGTATTGTTATGCCCACGATGTTATTTTTGGCCCAGGTAAACAGCTGCTGGGGGGGTCATGATTTGGTTCTCGAAGGGACGTCGAAGACTGGCCCTTGCTGCCAGACGTTTCAATGTACCCCCGACTCCGTCACAAGCACTCTTCCCGTGGGACGTTGCGAAAAAAATCCATTCAGCGGAAATGCCGAAATCATTTTCCTGTTTGCAAAGTTTTTTTTTTTTCTTTGTCCTTGTACTGAGAGCTTTATCCATCGTTACACCACCGTACAACGCACTTGACGAAAAATGAATTCCTTTCTTTGACAGATTTCCGATCTCAAACGGTCATTCAAAAGCCAACTTCTCGCTTGTCAGCCCTTTCTTAGCTTACTAGCGCAGAAGCGGGTTACTCAAAATGCAAGGAATGAGTCTCGATACCTAGTGTCAATAGTGCGGACACGTGCCTTCGTTTATTCATTATTTCCAATGGGTCATGTAAAGATTCCCGCACTGACAATATGGACCGAAAATAATGCTAGAAGCGCAATCTTGGCTTGTGACGATGCTTTAAGCGTCCGAGTTCACATACTGAATCAGCGCGTTTCAGAGCTTTGATAGCGTTCACTGCACTCCAACTAAGCGCGAACCAGATCATAGTTCCGCTTTTCACCGCAGCATGCGTGACGGCTAGATTTCGCGGCGATATTATCGTGTTTCAGACGTCCACGTCAGCTGCTGCCACCCGTCGATTAGGCATCGCGTTTCGGAGTCTGAGGAGCCGCCCTCGGGTACAAAGGGCACAACGGGCCTGCTATGGCGACGCACTGGCGGCACCTCCGATTAGTACACGATACCCGCCGTTTCTTCCCTTACAGCCAGAAAAGAGGGACGAGGGGAAGCGGGCAGCAAACTTCGTTGGTTCTTTGGACCTAATCGCTTCGGCTATCGTCGCAGGCGGCGTGCTGTGCGGCGAAGAGGCGTTAAGAAGCGACGCCGGGTAGTGGTGCGAGAGTTCAACTTCAAAAATTGTTTTCTCGCTTTAAACAAAAATCACTCTAATTAAACTTTCAGAATAAAAAGACGATCAATCGTTCTTCCAAACCCACCATATTTTGTATTTTTACTTGGACCGCCTCAGGGTGAAATAAACGGCTGTTTATGCGTCAAAACGCACTTTTTGGCAACTTCAGGATTTTTTTTTACTGCAAGATGTTTAATTGAGCGGTTTAAAATATTTTTTATAGGTTATATACCTAGAGGGCAACCAGTAAAAAGTTATATTAGGTCCCGGGAGCCATTATATATTTTTTAATAAAATGACAAATATGTTGATTTTTGAATAAAATTGTGTATTTTTAAAAAATATATAAATTAAACAAAACAGCACAAACTCAACCACATTGTAAGCCGACAACCGTGCCAATTTAAGAAAAAATATTGTTTTGTGTTTCATAAAAAAGCTGATTTTTCGTAAATTATTGAGTGATGCCTAGTTTCACGCTGTTTTCAAAAACTAAAATCGCGCTCACGTCATCACAAATTTCTATTTGTGATGACGTGATACTATTTTACTATTACAAATACTATTTTAGGGTATGGCTACGGACATTGTGGCCGAAGCCCATGAATTTTTTTTAGAAATCGGAGGTGGTCGAGCGCAACGTCTGGGACGTTTCACATGGAATGACCCAGGAACAACCTTTCGGTCTTGGTACTGGCACACTGAATGGAAATGAATACATAAAACACACACAATAATAATAATAATAAGAATAATAATTTTTATTTGCAGTTTAGTGTTTCACACTCGGCAGCGTGCAAGGCTAGACAGAAGGTTAGAGCCCTTAGGCGTGACTCTGGTATCTGCTAGACTCCTATATGGTGGAGCCAGAGTATCGCCTTCACCCTTTTGCCACCAACCACGCAGGCAAGTGTGACATATTTTTTGCTCTGCGTTCGCGAATGCAGATGTTACGCTGAAGTCTAACGAGCAGGCAGCTTCTTGAATCTTCGGACACGGTCTGTCATAAACCGATCTCACCACTTAGTTTTTTTACGCCGCCATTGCCGGCATAGATCATGGGAACTGTATATACAGAATTTCTGCACGCGCGACAACCCCGCTGGAGCTCTGCGCGAGTCGAGCACGAGACGGCACGAGCCATCTCGTGCACTGCAGCGCCTGTCCCCTGTGAACTAAAGTTATGGCGGCGTCACGCGTGCGTGGAACGTTTACCGCTCATTCACACTGGAAGCGGATCCGCGTTCGCAAAGCGGTTGCGAACGCGGTTGTATAAAGACCCAGTACAATTGCACGCGCACTTGACGACATCAAGTGCGCGTGATATTGTACTGGGTCTTTATACAACCGCGTTCGCAACCGCTTTGCGAACGCGGATCCGCTTCCAGTGTGAATGAGCGGTTAGTGAGATCGGTATGTTGAGCTCTTTTTGTAAAGCGAGCAAACGACGCGACGTCGCGCCCGTCGCGTCTCCTGCAAAAACGACGGTCGCCTTCCGGCAACACTCAAAGTTAAAAATGTGAGACCGTCTAGTATCTGTGTAGGCAGTGTACAGCGCCCACACCTGGATGTGCGCAAACGCGTACTTGTTTATAAGCCGCGTGTTGGTCTAGGCTCTGGAGCCAAACGATAGCCGGAAGGCAAAAATAAATGACTCATTAATTGGATCGTTTTCAATTATTGTCAGTGGGTCAACGCAAATGATTATATGTTTATTGGCAGTCACAGAGACGGAGCACGCAGATACACGGGCTCTTTTCAAGAAAAGTTGACAAGCATTCGCTGGAAAACCGTTTCATTCATTGATGCACTTCGCAAGCATATTTGTACTTGTACCAGGCACGTAGCCAGGGTTGAGGGGGCATGGGGTCCGGCATTCCCCCCCCCCCCCCCCGAAATCTCTCATTTTTCTGGGACCTCCTCTCCCCCTCCCCCTCATTAAGCATTTTGTCATGGGCGCCCCCCCCCCCCCCCCCCCCTTTCCCGAAACAAAATCCTGGTTACGTGCCCGACTTGTAGTAATGAATAAGGGGTAAAGTGTGTGTTGCGTGTTGTACAAAGCGCATCCAGAGAGTAAGCTTCTTTTTTTTTAATAGGGAAGTTATATATGGCCACAGCGTTTCTGAAGTGCTTTATGTTCAATTTATTCTGCTTGCCTTCATATTCTTGGGTGTAATGCCCTTCGACATTGATTCGGGCGTTCTTTTATATCCTGCCACAAGGTTTTGGATGCCCTCCACATAAAAGTCTGCTGCCTGAGTTCGGTGCCAACATCTTTAGCACCCTCCATGAAGGTCGACCGTTTGTGCTACTGTGTGTAAGCAATTTGTAAAGATTTCGTGAAGCTAATGATTTCGAAACTTGAGGGACATACACATTTTGCAAGATCGGGAGTGGTAAATTGTTGTCTGTTCCCCAGGAATTCCTTTATATTCACTTCACCAAAAATCAGTCCTGACAAGAAAAGAAAAAACAGCTATACTGCTTCTCAACAAGGCATCATGAAGGCGCTATCTCACGGCCTTCATGAAACGTCCGAAATGAATTCCGCGCACCCTTCCATCGCTCTTTGTGTTTTAGTCAATGCCACCTAGAGGACAAGTACTGCGAATTACGTCATCGTCGGTAGGTCCCAGTCCTGCACTAAGCGGCAAGCACGCCGAAGGTCGGCGACATTCACCGCAAAGTCTTTAGAATTTTTAAATTATCTTAACTAACAGCTTTCGCCTCATTTCTAGTGGTCCCCATGGCCACCAACTTTGCACCAGGGCTAAATTAAACGAAACAAAAAGCCTAACAGAAGTTTTCTTGTTTTTTTTAATTGTGATCTCACTAATTCGTGACGTCAAGGTGTCAGATCGTGGTTTTACGCGTCGTCACGTCAGGTAGCCTAAGTTAAGCGACTGATTTCGCATCGGGAGTCATATCATATGTGTCACCGTGACTCGCGATGCACGGACGGGTGGTCGGACAAACTGCATACCGTTAAAAAGCATTTCATAATTGTTAAAAAAAAAAGAGCGACTGCTTTAGTGCAAAGACTTACGGAGACATCGCACTTCTGGAAAGGCAGGTCCAGCACTAGGTTGATGTCAAACTCGTCGGCGCTCTTAGTACGCAGCCCTTCGTAGTAGCTTCCGGTGTACACGAGCCTGGAAAGCAGCACATGAAGAGCACAGACATGGGCGTACCAACCGGGGGAGGGGGGCAAGGGGAGCGCTTGCCCCCCCCCCCCCCCCCCCCCCCAGTTTTCAGAGGGGGAGGGTGCAAGGCATATGTTTTGCACCCCCCCCCCCCCCCCTCTGAAACAAAAGCCGCCACTGGTTTGCACCCTCACTCAAAAGCAAGTTGATACGCCACTGAGCACAGATGAATGTCAGGTCACTCTCATTCTAGGTTCCCACCCGAGTCTAAAAGAAGGGTTTTTAATCTTGAAAACGTACCTTTGGCACCGTGGAGGACTTCAGCCCCCCCCCCCCCCCCCCTCTCCCTCCCCTCTCCCCAAATCAATTTGTTCCTTATGGCGATTTTTTAAATATAAAAAAAATGGCATATGCTTGTTTTTCTACAGGAAATAATGTCTCCCTCTTGGTGAAATTGCGATAGGCCACTTTCAAAAATCCCTCCATGCAACACTTCGCGCGCTGCTCGCTGGGAACCAGTTGGCCGCGGAGCAGAGGGGCATGGTTTCGGTTAGAGTGCCTTCATACACACGCGCGCTTTTGCTTGAGTGGTGACATCTCAGCCATTTTTCCGCCCAATCGTTTTTTGTATGCAGTTTGAAGTGCGCGCAATCCGGTGTCACTCAGCTCGAGCGCGTAGCTTTGGCTAATGCATAGACGCCATTTTACCGCCCAAGTCACGCACCGAGTGCGCGAGAGCGTCACGCGCTGGCACATTCAGGGCAACAATGGATGTCTTCACCCTGAGACAGACAGACATGTAGGCACCCTAGTTTCGGTTTCGATCTGACAGCCACTGTCTGTACTCCTGCAGCCAAGCACGTGAACTTCCAAGCCTGCATAACTTTTCTTCGCTCGCATACGAGCGTGCTTGCACGAGCGGGGCACCAGTGGGGACGTTGCAATCCATCGTTCTACATTTGCCTACCTCTGCACAAAATCCGACCCATCGTGAACCACAAAAACAGTGCCAAACGTTTTTTTTTGTTTTTTTTTCTGAATTTCTCGGTAACGCCTACAGCAGTGTACGCTTGTAGGAAGTCGCAGCAATGAAAACACAAGCAGTGACACGATGATCATGACGAAATCTGAAACAAACCAAACTAAGTGGCCAGAATTCATTTCGTGCCACCATGACACCAGGGGCGCTTCGATTCGGGAAAAGGTAAAGGTTTAGGAAAAGGTAGAGTGCCTCAATGGTGCTGGTAGTGATGGGTCGAACTTTTGCCGAATCAATACTTCGGCACCGAATTTCGAAATTTGGCCAACGAGGTTGGATTCGGCAAAGTCAAAGTTTCGCCGAACTTTTCTAAAGATTCGGCAAAGAAGTGTTGAGGCCTCATCACCGCAGTGCATCTTGGGAAACGTCGCATAATGCACCTCGGTGACGCGCGCGTTGCCTTATGGTAAGTTTCCCATAAAGGACAGCGCGGGAGGGAGGAGGGAGGGGGGAGGAGGAGGGGGATAAGAAAGGGGAGGAGAGAAAGAAGGAAGAGGAGGAGAGGGTACGAATGACGAGGAGGGGCATACCGCCCCCCCCCCCTCCCCTCCCCTCCTCCTCCTCAAGAGCTGCTCTCTAATACGGCATTACAGGGAGTTGTAAAGGTCTTTCATTCTTTCACCCCTTTTCTATACTCTGCCACTGCCAGTCATAGTACGTCGACGCCCTTGGATACGGTCATCCATATCACTCGTGAAAAGAACCACATCCTGACCACTCATGGAGGGAGCCGCATCCGTGTCACTCGTGGAGGGAACCGCATCCATTGCTTCTACACACACACGTCACAGCCCATGCACCGCTGCTACGAAAACCCATAGCGAAGAGCAACCGGCGACGGCAGGGCGGCAACTGAGCACGCCCGTATTCCACCGCGCCGCGGCACACCTCCTAGATAACAAAGGGGATCTGCGGCCAGTCTGATCTTTGGGGCTAACTGCATCGCTCGTTTTATTCAGGTTGGTTTGCACGGCATCCTCGCTTGACAGGCTCTGCTATCGCTCCCTGGTCAGCTTAATATCAAGTTCGTTACCACTACGATGACAAGCTGTTAACGGATGCTTCGTGACTGTTCAGCGATGGCACTGTCATCACTGCAGAGTCACTGTGCTGCTTCGTTTTGATTGGTGCCTGTGCCCCCGTGTGCCCAGGACGCCCTGCTACAAAAGGCAGTCAAGTTCGGCGCTCGGCGGGATCTGCGGCCAGTCCGATCTTTGGGGCTAACTGCATCGCTTGTTTTACTCAGGTAATACCTTACGGTCATTTGCCTTTGTATGTTGTTTTTTTTTCGTTTTTTTTTTTTTTTCTGCTGGCTGCTGATCCCAAGCCATGGGTGTAGATCTGTCTGTGTACCGTGCCCGTATAGGTCTTTTCAGTCGCCGGCGTAAATCAACGACATACACGGTCAACAGAAGGTCGCGACTCTTCGAACCGCTTATATGCCTTGCGCGCTATGTTGGTCCGCGACCCAGTTCTCTGCTCTTATTTTGCCTGTCGTGTATTTCAATGCAGTCTGGTGATGTGAAACTTAATCCTGGACCAGTAAGTGCTGAGTCTGCTAAACTGGATGCTATCATGCAGTCTCTTGATCTTCTGACAAAATCAACTCACGAGTACCAAACTGATAACACTTTGGGATTAAACCGGATTGAGGCAGGTGTTACGCAGATTCAGCAGAAAGTAGATTCGCTTGAGGGTAGGGTCACTGAACTCTCCAAGGCTACCGAAGATATTCTCTCGCTGAAATCGGACCTTGAATTTGTGAAAGCTGAACTTGGGCCTGTTGCGGAACTACAAAAACTTGTTGAAGAATTAACAGCAACCGTAGACGACCTTAACAACCGACTACGACCAAACAATATTATCATCAAAGGGATCGCGGAATAATCCACTGAAACCCCTGAACAGCTAGAAACAACCGTCAGAACGTTCCTATCAGATAATCTAAACGTGACGCCTGGCGTTTTTGAACGTATTCACCGCTTAGGGCAGAAGCGTCAGGATTTCCATCGACCTTTCATCATAAAGCTCGGACTTCCGGGACAAGATGGCTATATTCCGAAGCGCTCCCAAGCTAAGAAAACATTAGCATTAAGGTGTGGATAGAAAACGACTATTCTCCGAAGATACGCCTCGCACGTGGCAAGCTTTGGGAATACGGTGCTACGTTTCAAGCGGACAAGATGAGAACCAGACTTGTGCACGACAAATTGTACGTAGGCGATAAGGTGTTTGTTTATGACTTTCAGAGCGAAAGCGTGATTGCAAAACACTATGTCAGCGGCACGCGCCCTTGACTACCTCCCGCAAGGTCAACTGATCGTGCCTCCCATGCACACCAACTTTCATTTAGAGCGCAGCTTTTAGGGGCCCGTTTCCGGCTTGAGCGGCGTCGGCGTCGCCGTCGCCGTCGGCGTCGGCGTAACCGCGCGGTGCATTATGGGTAAATTTCCCCGCTAAATCTAGCGGAAAAATTTCCCCGCTAGATTTAGTGGAAAAATTTCCCCGCTAGATTTAGCGGAAAAATTTCTCCGCTAAATCTAGCGTAAAAATTTTCCCCGCTAGATTTAGCGGAAAAAATTCCCCGCTAGATCTAGCGGAAAAAATTCCCCGCTAAATCTAGCGGGAAAAATTCCCCGCTAAATGTAGCGGGAAAATTTCCCCGCTAAATCTAGCTGAAAAATTTCTCCGCTACATCGCGGAAAAATTTCCCCGCTAAATCTAGCGGAAAATATTCCCCGCTAAATGTAGCGGAAAAATTTCCCTGCTAAATCTAGCGGAAAAATTTCCCCGCTAAATCTAGCGGGAAAATTTCCCCGCTAGATTTAGCGGAAAAATTTCCCCACTAAGTCTAGCGGGAAAATTTTCCCCGTTAGATTTAGCGGACAAAATTCCCGCTAAATCTAGCGGGAAAAATTCCCCGCTAAATCTAGCGGAGAACTTTCCCCGCTAAATCTAGCGGAAAATATTCCCCGCTAAATCTAGCGGAAAAATTTCCCCGCTAGATTTTGCGAAAACATTTCCCCGCTAAATCTAGCGGAAAAATTTCCCCGATAGATTTAGCAGAAAAATTTCCCCGCTAAATCTAGCGGAAAAATTTTCCCCGCTAGATTTAGCGGAAAAATTCCCCGCTAATAGCGGAAAAATTTCCCCGCTAAATCTAGCAAAAAAATTCCCCGCTAAATGTAGCGTAAAATTTCCCCGCTAAATCTAGCGGAAAAATTTTCCCCGCTAGATTTTGCGAAAAAAAATTCCCCGCTAAATCTAGCGGGAGAAATTTACCGCTAAATCTAGCGGGAGAAATTTCCCCGCTAATTTAGAGGGAAAAATTTAGCGGAAAAATTTCTCCGCTAAATCTAGCGGGAAAATGCCCCGCTAAATCTAGCGGAAAAATTAACCCGCTAAATCTAGCGGAAAAAATTCCGCGCTAAATCTAGCGGAAAAATTTCCCCGCTAGATTTAGCGGAAAAAATCCCCGCTGTCTAGCGGAAACATTTTCCCGTTAAACCTAGCGGAAAAATTTCCCCGCTAAATCTAGCGGAAAAAATTCCCCGCTAAATCCAGCGGAAAATTTTTTTCTGGGGGGTCACGTGACCCCTTAAGGTCACATGACCCCCCCCCCCCCCCGCCGCGAGAACAGGTAACCCTCAGTACCCTTCCCTCCTCCTCCTCAAGAGCTGCGCTCCAATTCGGTGTTACAAGGAGTTGTAAACGGCTTTTAGAGCGCAGCTCTTAGGGGCCCGTTTCCGGCTTGAGCGGCGTCGGCGTAACCGCGTGGTGCATTGTAGGTAAATTTCCCCGCTAAATCTAGCGGAAAAATTTCCCCGCTAAATCTAGCGGAAAAATTTCCCCGCTAAATCTAGCGTGAAATTTTCCCCGCTAGATTTAGCGGAAAAAATTCTCCGCTAAATCTAGCGCAAAAAGTTTCCCGCTAAATCTAGCGGAAAAATTTCCCCGCTAAATCTAGCGG